TGTAAGCCTTTCCCTCAGACACTTGACTCCTTTGAGAAGGACATTTCCTCACCTAGAACCTTGCATAACTGATGAACTGGAGCTGTTGCTAGGAAAAGCGATTAGGTATAGAAGACCCAATGGTCACAGAATGAGGCTGTGAAATGGTTGCAGTTCCCCCAGAAGAGGTACAGATGATGAACAATGCTTTGTTCTTTCGTAATGGCTAATGAGCTTTGCAGTGTTGTGACAACACTGACCTTTATTACAGTACTATACTGTCCCAAACTCCTGGAAGATATTTATGACAATTTCACATCTTGTGGTTAGCTAGAAAAAAAAAAAGTCTTTCTGTTTGCACAACATCTTCTTTTTCTTCTGTACCGTCAGCTGTTCTGCAGCTCCCAGTAACACAACGGCACAAGTGTTGTATTGTCATACTGAATTATTGAGTGATGACCTTAATCCTTAATAGAGAGATGCAGTGACGTTACTCCACACTGCAGCATCCCAGAACAGGATCTTCACTTTGTCATGCCCATTTAGGACTAAATCTCTTATCCGCTTCATCAGTTTTATACAGGGGTAAGAGCATTAACATCATGTGAGAAACTCCCAGCTCCAAAGACTATGAGGTGAGACTAACATCACTAACATAGTAGTTGCGGGGCTAAGGCCTGTGGTCCTTCCTTTGGCAAGTTCCTATAAATGCTCCTTCAAATGTGCAGCTGACTGGACTCAGTGAGAGCTCTCCACAAATGGAATAGGGCAATCATCAACTTAACCCTGTGCCATCAAATAAGTATCAGCAAGCAAGTTACCCGGTTGCTGTCCAGAGGTTCTGTATGCACCAAGGGTATCATTTTTGCCAACTCATCCAGGAGCAGAAAATTTGAGAACTGGATTATCTCTGAGAAGCAAATCTCCTTCATTTATTAAAACTGAGCCTTCTGATTCAAGTGTTCCCTGTTTATTTGTTTCACATAATATAGCTAGTATGAATAGCACAAGTTGCTACCACTGGCAACACCGTGAAAATCTTACCTGGGAGTTTCCAAAGGCCAAGTTCTAACCAAAACAAGGCATTTTACGTAAACAGTCTCTGCACATTTTTAGGTGGATGAAAGAAAGTATACAGTGCATGCAGGTCCATGCAGATTCCCCCACAGAAATGGGGAAGGATGCCAGCAGAGAGTTCTTTATGGTTCCTTGATCCTTTCTACCCCACACGGTAAAAGCAACTTGGTTCCTAATGACCGTATCCCCCGTTCTTTGAAAGTTTGTAAGGATTTAGTCAAGCCTTCTCAGGCTCCACAGAGCTGTAAATGGAGACTATACCATGTAGAGTACCATTTCTGTCCATTTTTAATTCCTCCTTATTTACCTTCTCACTGGTCAGTGTGAGAACCTTCCCATTTGTGGCTGAGAGTTTGAAAAATAAACTTCCTGTCATCTCACTTCAACAGAAAAGGTCCTTTCATCCTTTCTGCTATTTTTATTCCTCTTTTCTCCAATATTCTATATTTTGTCCCTTTAACACTGTTTTTTTTTAACTTGTTATAACAATTTGTACGAGTGTAAAATGCTCTAAGACAAAACTTGTATTCTCCCTGATCTGACATTTATGCAGGACAGTTTATTTTCACCATTGTAGTCTGTTCACCCCGTTGCAGAAAATACCTGGTTTCAGACTTAACCGTCGCAAACCTTGCCTCTCCTTCCTTGCAGGACTCTACGGTGTTTTATTTGAGAAACACAAGGAGGCTGCCTTTTCAAATTACCGCCTCTGGGAATCAGCTGGATTTGTCATTGCCTTTGGTTATAGCACCTTCCTGCAAGTCTACATCAAACTATATATCCTATTGGCTGTGCTTGTGGTGTCTATGGTGATGTATGGAGTAGTGGAATACATAGAAGCCAAGAGCTCTCCTGGGACACCTACTGCTGCAGAAAAGGAAAAAGTAGGATCTCTCGCCCAGGAAACACGCATGGAATCCAATAGAGTCAGAGTAATGGATGGCCAGAGTGATGGCCAGCTCCTACAGACAGTGTCTCCAATGGTGTTCTGAAGTGTACTGTCTGTTTCCAGAAAGAGGATAAAGGAACAGATTTCAAGCTCTGAGTAATATAAATGTCTTAGGAGTAAAATGTCTTAGGATCCTTTTGACATCTCATCCTTATAAGGGAAGAGTATCTGACTTCATCCTTTCATACAGATGACCAACTAAATCTCTTTTTAAACTAATAAAATCTTAATAAATGTAAAAAAAGATTTAGTCCTTAGACCCCACCAAAACTGAAATTGCTATTTAGAACATCGTTATGCATGAACAGTTCACAGTTACAAAATTCATGTGATTTTGCCTACTGTAAAGTCAATAGGGATTTTGCTGCATAGTGTTTCAACACAACATGAGGCAGAAGTTGAGCTAGGAACACCTCTTTACTGAAATGCAAGAAACAAAATCCCACTTGAGGTCACTGTGGCATGAGGCCTTTGCACTTTCACAGCCAGGCAAGATTCCATGAGCCCTGCTTCAACTGAGTGGGCAGCAAGCAACCTACGTGCTGCTGTGCTGAGGTCTGAACTCGCAGCAGGGTACAGGTAGACTCACCCTTCTTTACCTCATATTTCACTACTACACAGCATATTATCTTAGCCACAGCAACAATCGTGTTCACAGTGAAACAAAAGCTTTTATCAGTCTGACTCTGACTGTGTGAGGTTAATGACAGCTTATCTAATATCTGTGCTAGCAGTCTCAGTGGACACTAGCTTTGGGGTTTGAAGTTGTGGCAAGATGAATCCATGTGTCTAAAGCCTTCAAGAGCTATAAGCCTGGCAATGGGCAATAAGCCTGGTAATGCTCATTTCCAAAATGCCTTGTGTCCCCTGAAATCCTCAGTCACAGACTGTACTTCCCTAAAGGCATATGAGGAGAATCAAGGGTTTAAGCAAGAGAACCTCAATACATGAGGGACTTCACCAAGTGAGGGACCACCTGTGCCGGACAGGAGGAACGGCCTTGGGGAAGGACAGCCAAGCCATTCCTCACAGAGACTTCAGAGATTCACGCATCAACCCCTCTTCAGGAAGCAGGTTTTAGGTAGCCTATGAATTATGGCATTCATCTGAAACACCAGAGAGTCAGGTTCATGTAATCAGACTGGAAACATCAGGTAATTGCTCTTAGCAAGCATGTAATACTGTTAGGTTTTAGGGCACGCGACAAAGGTCTGAGCAGCTGAAGGCTCTCGGCCTGCCAGCGCCAACAGGAGGCGGTGGGAGACCAGCAAGGCCTCTGAGGGCCTCCCCAGACGCCAGGAGATCCTCGCGTCTGCGCCCATGAAGGGCAGGCGTCCTCAGGGCCGCCACCAGCGCCACGCGGGACAGGGCCCGTCCTGGCCCACAGCAGGTGACACCATTTCTCCCTTCTGGGCTCCCTGTAGCTACGTTTTTGCTGTGCAGCTCAGGTAAAGAGGACGTGGAGGGTTAAAAAAACCCAAACCAGCACCAACTCCCGCAACGAAAGGAGGGGGGCAGCTGGAATTAATTCCTGCGCGAGTCCTGCAGCCTGGAAGCACCACGAAGCGCCACAAAAGCAACGCGCGACTCAGCCTCGTTTATTCAGCCCCCGCCGCCGTCTCCCACTGGCTCCAGCCCGGCCTGCACAAAAGCG